AAAAAAAAAAAAAAAAAAAAAAGATTCAAGAGATCTTAAAATAGAGCATTTAAAATATTATCAGTGCATTCATGAGGAAAGACAAAAATAGTACAAAACAAAATGTCATTTCTATCTGAGAGGAACATACCTGCAGAAATAAAGCGATTTACATAGACTTGATAGAATGAGTAGAAAAGTGGGAGAGAAAAAAAGTCAACACACTCAAATCTGGGATTGGATTATAGCCAAGGCAAGGGCTGTTTACTATTGTGGCATTCCATCTTTTGCCTTTCCAGTTTTCCAACTTGCAAATCCAATTCCTCACTTTAATTAATGATCAGGGAATTCCAGAAAATAGAAGTTTATTATATCAAACAACTTCATCTGAGGTTCGCACCTCACGGTGATGCTCTTTAGGGGAAACTGCAAATATTCCATTCTTTGACCTTTGACCTATGCATTTTTATCTTAAAAGCTAAATAAGAGACAACTGACAAACTGACACAGCCTACAAACCCTGACAGAAAGTCACCTCCTCTGCAATGATGGGGCAAATCATTTATTGAAGCAAGGGAACTTCTAGCCTCAGATCTAGGTAACTCTCATTCAGAGAAAAATAAAAAAAAAGAATTTTTTGATCATGGGAGAGTTTGGCTGTGCCTTTTCAACCTTCAAAAAACATCTATAGAAACCTTAACTTCAGTGAAATAAACTAAATGACTTATGCTCCAAAAACCAAATAAAAGGTAAATCTTTCCTTTCCCCCTGAACACTAAAAACCTGATTAAAGAAAAACATGTTTTCTATGAACTGTCTACTTTTGAATAACAATAGTATCCTGTAAAAATACTGATGAAACCAAGTTAGAGGAAGGCTTTCTTAACTCAAGTCACTAACATTCCGAGTTTCAATCAAGTCTTTAAGCCCTTACTAAAACGAACACATTTCACCTCAATTAACTCGGTCTATAATATTCCCCAATTTTCCTAAAATAGAAGCTTTTTCATGTCTGAACTGATTAGTAATGATGCTCAGAAGATGAACTAAGACAACTGAAGTCAAATCTATCCTTTTGGTAAAAGAAAAAAAAAGAGGACACGTGGGCTCAGGTAGCTTATGTCATAATAAGGGACAATTCATGAAGCACAGGTGGAACAAATACTATAAAACATATATTTTTAGTGCAAGTCAAACTCTAGGGGCTTTACTCAAAAGCACTGGCCAGCTAAAGGAAACACACAATTCCTCGTGATCATTAAAAAGAGCCCAAATTTAAGTCCAATCTAAATCATAGTTGACATTATTACAGAACATTAAAAAATATGGTAAAAATTTACACATTACACATAAAGTAGTTAATGTTTTGATTTAATAGTTTGCAAAAAAAAAAAAAAAGAAGAAAAAAGACCTGCAGATGTGTTTCCAATTATACTGGCTTCTATACCCATGTATTATAATAATATAGGCATGGTTACATATACCGAAACTAAGGAAAAACCTATAGCATAACTATACCGCAATATTTTAAGGTCTGAAGTTTGACCAGTACATATCAAAACATTGCCACATTTCACTGGTTGACTACACGGACAAAGAACCATTTACAATGAAAAAGAAAAAGAAAAAAAAAATCTTACAGACTTATTCTGACTGAAAGTTTCCTTTATTAACAGGCTTTTCAGTTTTGAAACTTAACAAGAAGTTTCCTTAGGCAGTTGGTACATAACATGTGTTTTCAGGGTCTTTATCTTAACGCAGACTTGCTTGGTCATATAATCACTCACTTGGGTTTTCATCCCATTAATATGACCTCTTTTTTTTTTTTCTGGCTCGTTTGAATTCAAGTTCCTTAAACCATCCATGAGTTTCTGGCAAAGAATTTTGGTCTCCACTTTATACACCTGTTTTATTTTCCAAGGGCAATGAAATGTTCATTATATAGTAACACACAATAAATAACTCGTGGTTAACTCTAAGAGTAAGAATGGGAAGGGTGCCTATTGCATAGCAATACAGAAAAATCAAGTGAGGCAAGGCATAGGAACGTATGTACAGCAACTCCACTTAAGGGGATTTTCCTGTTGTTTTTTTTTTTCTTTTTTCTTTCACATAATTAACACTAACAAATTCTTCCAGTGTTTATTTTTTTCTTAAAAAAAAAAAAAACGGTTTTGCTTCTTGTCTCTCTCACTTACAGAGTAGGCGAAATGTAGAATAAAGCCTTCCACGTTTTTTGTTTTTTTTTCAGATGCCAGTTTTAACAAACAGAACACAAACTTCCCAAGTGTTTGAACTAGTACCGCTTTTTCAAAAAAAAAAATTTTTTTTTTTTAACACTGATGGAAGCAAGGCTCTCTTATGTTTCGTGTTACAAATGTTGTCATTTTTGGTGTGGTATGATCATCATCATCATCATCATCATCATCATGATCGATTATCTTCTCGCCACTTTTCCAAGGATCTTAGCTGCATTTGCAGGACTTTACAATCATATTAGAAAGCTGTTCAATCTTGGGTGTTTTGCCGATGTAGTAAAGGATGGTTAGCGGTTCTAAATCCTGGGACACGCAGCAAGGGGACGCGGATGCTTCTGGATTTATGGTGTTATATAAGCTGAGAACCTGAAAGGGCAGAGGAGAGAAAAGACAACAAAGGGGAAAAAAAAAAAAGGCAATTATTTTTTTATTTATTTTTATTTTTTTTAGCTGAGCCATCCTGCTACCTGTTGGCAGCTCAGCGGCTGCTCAGCTCGGGCTGGACTCGAACCGCTGTTGCTCAGAGCGCAAACTCAAGGCAATTATTTTTTAAAGAACCATTCTATACTGTTATCTTGTCAGAATAATTCTTTTTACTAAAACTACCATCAGAGCTTGACTCTACCCTTAGGTATAGAGAAAGGCACCTGTCTTCAGTGTGAAATCTTTCTATGCTAAGCGTCTTCTGGGGCCGATTTCATGTCACCTAAATTTTCATTTAAAAGAAAAATAGGTTTAAAAAATCTTTTCATGTTATCGTTGCTTCACAAATACATTCATGCTAGGAATGATATTAAAAGCAATCTATATTCTTAATCATTTCCTTCATGTTTTGCTTAAGACAACAACACTAATAATAATAATCAACGCTCCATGTATCTTGCCATGTGGCCGATGGTAGGAGCTGAGTTGGAGCAGTGCTAGAACCGAATGAGCAAAATGTTCTATAATTAGCCCTGTACCTTTAACCCCATTCATGCTCTGTCAACGGGGAATGTGACTTTTACCAGGGGAAGTGTGTAGGTTTCCCCAGTGATGATAAAGAGACATTTCCAAGGATGCCATTAATGTGTTAGTCAAGCAGCAAAGTGACCTTTTCCTCGAGATTCACTGCGACTTTTTCAGCCGAAGACAGAAGATCTGTTCAGTGCAGCAACACTGAGTACTTTATTAGCGAGCTCTGGCTTCTTGGGGAACTGTCCAAACCACATATTTGTGACCATGACAGTTATTCTTCCTCTCTCCTTGAAAAACAAGCATGGTCTCAGCCTTCACACACTCCCTCTGTGTATCAGGGAGGGGAATTATGTTTCTCCTTGGCAACAGGGCCTTGCCCACATTACAGCTACTGTTGCCACAGCCCGGATGAAGTAACCTGGCCAGAGAGCTCCGACAAAGGGAACCCGCTCCCCTCACGTGGCCAAGCACGTGGTCAGCCCCGAGTGCCCAACTCTACAGGGGCGTCGGGAAAACAACTGAAGCAAGGGGAGCCATATTTGTCAATTTAAAGCCGAGCATATGTAGGCATTTATAAATAAATACACTTCACGTTCCACGAACACACGATTTCTCATAGGCATGAAAGAGGCATTGGATAATTCGGGTTGTCTAAAATAATTGATAACCCCGAAACTCTTTTTCTTCAGCTGCAGGCATTATGTGATCTTGTTGGCAGCCAACTCATTTTCCTACCCCGCCGCGAAGGCCATTTTTCTAATGCCTCTTTAATAAGGAGATTTACAGAGGCATAACCCCAATGGGTAGCTACATTTCAGGAATGAAACACAGTAAGGCAGAGCAAACAGAGGTCTGGTTGTAAAACCTGGAGGGCCTGCCTTCCAAGTTGTCGTTTGTCACCAAGCGGTTTGATCTTGGGCAAGGCACCTACTTGGCCTAGACACCCATGTCTTTAGCAGAGTGAAAGGTTGGGACAAGATAACTTAGGAAGTCCTTTCCATCCTGAGGCACCCGGAAGAAGCATTTGGACAGACATCATTACGACATAGAAACAGGCTTCGCTCATCTGGCCTGGGAACCCATCAAGGACCTGCCTTCCAACTTAGCCTTCTAGCCTCACTGAAGTAACTTAACAAAACATTCAGAGTCTCATTTACTTCGGGTTTTGTTTCAAATGGCTTAGAGATACGGATTTTCAAATCCTCTTCCCATATATCATCTCTTTGTTCTTCACATCCACTCGCGAGCTTGGCGTTATTTATTTGAAAGACAACTTTTAACAGAGACATTCCTCTTTACTGATGAGAAACTGAGGTTTGGGGAGGTGAAATGACTTTCTAATTGTCACACACTCCTGACTCATGGTGCCAGAGCATCTCCCAACATCCTCCGTGTTCTCTCTAATATGTGTCCCTGATGGTAGGTGATAACAGGTCTTTTTCTAGCTGGGGACCTGCGTCCCTGCACATTTTCACTGTACCTGGCACTAAGTGATATATTGATTCCAAAAGTGTTTCCTAGTTACCTATTTATGCTTCCAGCTCTTGAGAATATAGAACAAAGAAAGAAAAAGAAAAAAAAAATAAACCAAACGGTCCTCAAGGTGGTTGTAATGTCATTGGGAAGGGTAGACCTATGGTCCAAATTGATCAGGGTTACTCTCTGATTTCACCTACAGCCTACACTCTTCCTCGTCACTCAAAAGGGCTTCTCCTGCACCCATGATGTGTGATGACGAAAGGGCACCAGGCCAATTAGAGTTCATTTAGAAATACAGTTAACCCTTGAACAACATGCATTCGAACTGCATGGGTCCACTTATATGCAATGTTTGTTTTTTTTCAGTACATAGACAGCCCTCTGTAGCCCTAGGTTTCCTGTCTCTGGATTCAACCAACTGCAGATCAAAAGAAGTATTTTCCATCAGTGACCGTAGTCTTTGTTCTATGGCATTTCATATAAGGGACTTGAGCCTCTGCAGATTTGGGTATCTGTGGAGGGTCTTGGAACCATTACCCCATAGACACTGAGGGACAGCTTGTAGTTACGTTTTGAGGGAGTCAAAAGTTACATGTGGATTTTTTACTGTGTTGGGGGAGTGGGGGGTTAGTGCCCCAACCCCTCTCATTGTTCAGGGGTCAACTGTACCATCAGCAGTACACAATAAAAACCCAAAAAGAGAAGAGATGAGTTAGCCAAACACTTACCCTACTGTGCTGAGTGTCTGAACTCCACAGGTACGGGCATGCCCCAGCACAGAAGTTGGCATTGTACCCTTTGGGTTCATGTATCCATTTCCACCCAAGGTCCCTCTTGAAATCAATGTACAGTGGACGTAGGCAGCAATTATCCTGCACGTTTCTGTTAAAAGAAGAGCAAAGGAGATTTTAAAGCTGACTTCCGCTCCCCCCCACCCCGTCCCCGCCCCTCACCCAAACTAGGAAAAATGACTCATTCATTTATTCAACAAAAATCTGTAAGCAAATGTCACGTGCCAGGTTTTAATGGTTTTATTGTAACCTAAGTGACTTTCATGAGCGGGTGTACGGTGACTCGCTGGAAGACTTTCCCTTCTGAGTTCTATACCCTGACCCAGTGTCCGTGATCTCAAAAATCAAGCCTTTCTCTTGAATGACTAGAAACAAGCAGAGAGGTGGCTGATGGAAACCAAGTCCTTTCCCCCAACACTGTGCAGTGCTACCCTCCAGCCTCTACAGCCCTTTCAAATACAAACTGATGAAACACAACAGCTATTTTCAAAGCACCATTTAAGGCCATTTCCTTTGAAAATAAGTCCTTTATGTTACCTCATGTTTCTTGATCTAGGAAGGAGCCCCAGAGATCGAGAGAACCATGAAGCGTTGCTTCGTGTAACCATGGGCTCTGGCACCCAAAAAGCGCCATGTCACCTATGAACTCTGATACTTGGGGCCCTTTTAGAGTGAGGACCCCTCACTGCCTCATAGCTTGAGATAAAGAAAGAGCCTTGCTGTTAGCAGGCCTGATAAGAATCTGCAGAGGAGGAGTCACACGCTCCCTCTATGAACTCACATGGCAATGGGAAATAAATTCGTGTCACCCTCACATCTCTCATATTCTGCAGCTGAAGACATGGCAAATAGCGTCCTCGTCCATCTCTCTCATCTAGGGTACCACGGGCACTCTGCCGTGAGGAAGGCCTCATACAGATGGTGAGTCTCCCTGATTAGGGAGCCGCTGTGATGCCCCTCAGATAAACTCCCATCTGCTCTGGGGAGCAGACAGCTCATTTTCTTCTTCAGCCCTCAAGTGCTTCAGAGGGAATAGGCAAAAAACTGCAGGGGGCCAGTTTTCTCCCTTCCCACTTGATTCATTGCTACAGAGATGACGGAACACAACGCAAATGACTAGATGAAGCCTCCGGGAAGAATGAAGCTATGAGCTGCGACGGCCGCCCTGTCCTGTACCTGGCCTTACACACTGAGGGCACGACCAGTCCAGGTGTCGTCAAAGAAAGTGCAAAGGCAGTGACAAGAAGTGACCAGACACAACCGCTCGGTAATGTTTTTATTTCCTTTACCTAAAGCAATAGGCTGCGTCCAAAGCACGTTTCCTCCGCCGGCTGGACTGCTGTAACTCAAGTCTGTAGGAGGGCAACAACATTAGCAGGAGGTGTGGGGTCTTCCCACTGGCTTTTTTCCTAGTGGACTTTATAGTTTTCTGATCACCACTGGTATATGTGGAGGTGCCATCAATACCTTGAAAAAATGCATTTGGGTAATCAACATTTAGCTTTACCTTCATCAGAGAGAAATCAGCCATATTTTATTTTTCGCTTGTATATTGTCGCAGACAGCAGTGATGACCACAATGGCAGTATCAGCGGGCTACAGTCGTTCCCCACGGGAAGATGGCACAATAGGACGACTGCAGGTGACAAGGCACGCTTCTAAATGGGGCTCTTGTCAGGAGGCAGCTCAGGGTCCAAGGCGGGGCTTGTTGGTTATGAAAAGTCGCTACAGAAGAAGGCTCTGACCTCTAGTCCCAGGGCAGGCTGGGCAGTTAATTTTAGTCAGTCCTCAGGTTAGGCTGTGTCCAACCCCTCCACAACGGAGCCCACAGCAATAGAACCCGCCTTGTCGCCTGCTGGTTCGCTCTCTTCCTAGGACTTCTAAACTCAAAAGACTTTCCTAATGAACATAAATGGGGACTCACACTAAATTGCAGTGAATTAGGTTCAAGTGAAACAGGACTCTCCCTTACCTAATGCTATTTTGGGAAGCCGGGAAGAAAGGGCTTTTTCATTTATTTTATGGCATCCTCAACGCTTTCCTGATTCCATCTGAGATTTAGAAACCCGAGCTCCCCAAAGCACGCTCAGGAGACTGCCAGTTTAAGCATTTAATCTCCACACTCTAGAGAATCCCGACGAGGTTAGAGACTGAAATAAATCGCTCGACCTCTGGGAGTATTTTTCCATGAGGAAAGGCCACTGGTAGCCTTCGGCAAGTGGATGGAGGTCCCAGGTGGTATTAGGGGGAAAGGGAACTGGCTCCCGGACCTGGTGGTGCGGGGCCACTGCCGCCCCCCCGCACACGGGACAGGCTCCCCCTCACCTCCTATCATTCAATGACTCGTGATCTGACTCATGAAGGGACTGGAACCCCGGGCGTCTCCTCATTCTCCATGGCTTTTGGCTAATTGGCTGACAGGTGAGCAAGAACACGGGGAAACTAAAATCTTGCTATGTGCTTATGAACTATTATGAGAGTCGGGTAAGGAACACACTCAAAATATCGGGCGCCGGCTATAAAAGGTGAAATGTTCCCCATACATGGAAGGTTAGTGAAAGTGGCTGGGGAGCAAAGAAACCCCATTGCTCTGTGAAATACAGTTATGGGTTCCTGGAGTTGGTTTGGGGGTTATCAATAGATTTCCTTGAAGGCATGCTATCTTCTCCTTCTGTAATATTGGCATGGATGGAAAGCTGGCTCGCTTAAATGAAGAATAAAGGGCTTAACTGACTATCTAATAGCTTGGAGGCTTGTTGAGTCAGTCACTCAGTATTGCCAAGTCATCACCGGGCATCGAACAGCGTAAACTAGGAACCGATCCCTTTCTTCCCATCCTTTCTGCCTTCCTGTATCTTTCTCCAACCATATCTTTGCCCGGATAAATGAAATTCCCCAGTCCTCACCACACAGTCCCGTTTTCACATGCAGCCTGACTTCATCCCCCACGAAATGGTCAACACAGGCCTTTCCCTCCCCGACCTCATAGGACCAAGTTTCAGTTACCTGCAAACCTTGCTTCTAGTTCTTCACTTTTGTTGGGGATGATGTAATTATTAGACGGTACAAATGTGCAGCAGGGGCAGTGTAAGCTTATTTTAAATCCCAGGTTCCTGTCTGGAAAACATTAAGGCAAGGAGGTCATTTGTATGCGCGTCTTACGCTCTTACATCTGCAGTCAACTTGCAACAACTTAGGGTTACTGAGCACCGAGGGAGGGAGACAGAGGGTGGTTGTAACCTTTATGGTGCAGCCATTCATGCACAGCATCGGTCACGTCGAAGGAAAGCCACTCCCCTTCCGCTCTTGTCTTCACAACCTTGCTGTCGATGTAGCGCTGGGTTGGAGACGTTAAGTCTTTGGATTTGAGAATCTAGAGAAGGAAAGAGCAAGCGAAAGAGCTCACTTGGCACACTGACAGCACAACGAAACCAAAACCATGAACTCTACTCCGACTCATTATCTAAATTTAGCTCCACTCGAGTCTATCCATGTATTGTCCCCTCTCCATAGCATGGCCGCGTGCATAAAAACATAACACCAGGCCATTTGCCATGAAAAATAGAGCTACTAAATCAGCCGTGTGTTTTGATAAAGGTGACAGGAACCATAAAGCCAAGTGTCTAAAAGAAAGTGACAGTAATTATTTTACTTTGCTGACATAAGCTTTGCAAGATTGCAGCCATAAATTCTATGCTATTAAGTTAATGGTTTTGTTGTTCTCTGCTTCCCCGCTTATTTAAGCTGGGGAGTTGGGATGTGGGGAAGGGGTCCAGTTCTGAGGACCCACGCTCACCCTCTGTAGGCCCTGAATTATAAATCTCCTCCTAATAAAGAGAGAAAGGTCTTAACCCTGGTTCCTAAATCCGCTGACATTAAAAAGTGAGGCATGCCTCAGCTTTTGAGGTAAGTCTTTAGCAGGGATTTTTACTCTCAATGTGACTTGTTATGATTTATAAAGATATTCCATATCCCGCAGACTAAGAATGGATTTGGGCAGAAGTCTGGCATAATGCGTAGTGAGAGTCTGAAAGCAAATCGTCCTGAACCCTGAGACTGAGAAGGGTACATTCATTTCAAACAAATAAAGAGAATTGCAGTATGTTCTTGAGTTTCTGTGGGAAGTGACCATTTGGGGTAGTTTGTAAAAGTTCTGTCTTTAAATGACAGTGTCTTCTGAACCAGTCAAACCAAGATCCTAAGTCTCCCAGAGCTATATCAACTCCCTACCCAAACCTATATCCCGCTTTTCCTCAGGACTTTGGGGCTCCAGCCCCGCCATTTTATACAGCCCTTCCTGACACGGAGTCTCACACAGCTGTGCTCATTTCATACATCTGGGTTTGGTCTCGCCAACAAGTTCATAAGCTTCCCCAGGGATCATGTCTTCAATTTGCTATCCTTCCAAAGCATAGCGCTCGATTTAATCAATGCCTGTTGAACGACTATGAGAATACCTAGATTTATTTACTCTCATTTAAAACTTGTGAAACAAAAACACACAACCTTCCCACTGATGTTGCAATGCGCTTCTCTCCCACGTGTACATGATTTGTTGCAGGTCATTTGGCAACAACTGTGTCCTCGAATATTTAGCATTATAGTAGAACTTTTTTATTTTTCCTGGATTAAGTAGGTTTAGAGAGAAAAAAAAAAGCAATTTGTACAATTGGACTTTGAGGTGCCCTTGTGAATTTTAGATGAACCGTACTCTACAGACCTGCCCCCTCAGGTCCACAAATCCCACTAAGTGTAGAGAATCTAATCATGGTTCTTCCCATAGGCAAGTGATGCTCTTTGTGACCTAAAGGAAGCTGATACACATGACTCGAGAGCTGGTACACTGGATTCTGGGCTGGGCACATGTTATTAATTTCATTTGATCCTCCAAATATTCCTGTAAGGTAGCTGAAGAAAACTATAAGCTCAGGGAGGTTAAGTAACTTGCCCGAGGCCTCACAGGGAACCATTGTAGACAGGATTCCAAGCAGTCCCATCATTCCCTCGCATCAGTGCTGGAGTTTGAAAGCCAAAGAGTTGTGGGACTTAGGCTTGGAACCCTTACCCCCTTCCAGGTGACCGAGAAAATTCCATGATAGAGGGAAATATTTTTAATACCATTATAATAAATGTGGGTACAAGATGAAAATATAAAATGTGGAATGCATACACAGTTAATGCTGACATGACCCCATAACTTTAGAGAGAGAGCTGAACAGTAGCCAGTCCTCTAGAAATCAAACCTCACCTTGAACACTCCCAGGTGGGCAAATGAAACACCAATTCAGAATAAGTGGTATAATTCACCTAACCTAGGATAACAATAATGGAACAACAGAGAAGAAATTTTCAGACATTTCCATCAGCCTCATGTTCTAAAAACTACTAACATACCCAGAACTCATTTTTCTATCTTTAAATTTCTTTCCCTAGCTTACCTCCTATAATGATGTGTTATTTCATAATTATTTGTATGTTTGCTTTACTCCTAATTAGTAAGATGAACCTTATTCATCTTCATATCCTTAACACTTAGACACACTGTCTAGAACAAAACATCGCTTTCGTTGTTGAATTAATTACATATGCTATATAATATATGATAATATATATCAAAAGTCTATAATATCTATGTATGAGATGTATATGTGTATATATAATATATATGTAAAATATGTATGCAGCTCCACTGAAGACAGAATTAAAAAAAAATCATGATCATATCGATGAAATGGACAGAAAACACACTTGTAAAGCTATGGAAATTCTTTACGTTGTAGAGAAGGAGTAAATCTTGATGATCTTACTTTAAAAGCAGACGAAAGGGGAGCAAACATATTCTGAAACTTCTTTTTTTAAAAAAAATCTCAAAGATGAATGCTTTCTCAGCCATAAGACAAACACTGGTAGGCTCTGACAATGGACTACCTCATCTTGTCACACGGGTGAAAGGTCCTCAGTATCTTTTTACTAGTTCAAGAGCAGGCCAAATTAAACCCCCCAAGAAAGACAGCTAGCTAGCTACAGGATTCTGAGACACAGAAGTTCCTTTGGTCTTGGAGGGTTGCTGTCTCGAACTTTCTGGCCAAGGAGTTCTTAAACCCACTTGTTGCAATTTAACTCCATTCTTTATTATCCAGTCCTCAGTGGAAACAGGAAACAGCTGCTTTCCATCACTCAAAGAATATCCCTCATATTCTTGGAGACTATTATTAAGTCCCCCTCAGCATTCTCTCTCTCTCTCTCACCTAAATAAACCCAGTTCCTTTAGCCCGTATTTAGAGGGGCAGTTTCTCAAACCTTTAATCACGTGGGTCGCTAACAAGGATAAATGATGCTATATAAAAGTACTCTTCCAACAGCTTTGTGATTTTGCTTCAGGACTGCCTAGAAAACCTACTAATCACATCTTAAAGTCTCAAATCTTAGCTTAAAAGGTATCTTCTTTCCAAGAATAAGCACAACCTCCTTATGCCCTGTTTATCTTCCATTTATCACTCATGCTAAATTAAACTGTAAGGGAAGAAAATCAACCTGCTGTTATTACCGATTAGTACTTTCTTAAATTCACAAGTTTATTATACAAAATGACCAGGTCGGTCAATTTCCCGTTCTATTTTAGCCTTTGCTGTCTGCCTCCCTCTAATCTCCCCACAATAAATGTATTGAGCGTTAACAGTCGTGAATGTGCAGCTGTTGTGTTTTTTTTTTTCCTAGAGCCACAGTCACTTTTAAATTCCTTTCTACATCTTATCATGACAAAGATAAATTCACTGAACAGTGGATGCTGTCTTAACTGGCCCCCATTTAACTGGCCAGATTAACTAGTGCTATCCATTTGTTCCATAATATACATTAGCTGATGCCCACAGCAGCTGGGGCTCATTGCTGGAAAGCTACTGCCCAGTATGTGCCAAGCACTTCTGGCCTCCCCAGTTGAGTTGTACACTTAGCAAGTATCAATTGTATATGTTTCTAAACTTCTTTACGATAGTTGGACTTGATGTTGTAATTATACAAGGTAATTAAATGGTCTAGAAACTGCTGAAACGCAGGACCAAAAGTCAAGAGCTGTTGCTGCTGCGAAAACCAAGCTTAATGCCTTGGAAAGTCTTCATAAAGACTTAAAAAACAAAACAAAACAAAAAAACAAAAACGAGGGGGTAGGGGGAATGTTTGGTGGCTCTTCAAACAGGTAAACATAGAATTGCCATATGATCCAGCAACTGAACCCTTACGTATATTCCCAGAAGAAAGCAGGGACTCAGGTACTTATATACCAATGTTCAGAGCAGTATAATTCACAACAGGTAAAAGGCGAGGACAACCCACGTGTCCATCAGTAAATACACAGATAAACAAAATGCAGTATATACATACACTAGAATATTATTTGGCCACAAAAAGAATGAAATTCTTGGGCCGGCCGAGTGGCGCATTGGTTAGGAGTTGGCTTGGGACCCTGGCTCTGAGCAGCAGAACCCCGGTTCAGATCCCACATGCTGGCCAGTGACACTGCGCCCTCTACAGCTAAGATGGTGAACAACAGCTCCACCTGGAGCTGGGCTGCTGTGAGTCACCAGCGGCAGTGTAGGCTGCAGTGGGGCTGGCCGGCAGCGGGTGTGAGCTTTCATGAGCGGTCGTCCAATGGCCGGCGACCGATCTGCCTCACCCGGGGAAGAGCGCAATGATAATACCAACATGGGCCAGTGAAGCAACGTCCTCCACAACTAGTCTGAAGAACCAAAGGACAGCAACTTGTCTGTTCCCCTTCCCCGATTCCCCAGCGCTGTTCCCATCCCCCCAATTCCCCAATGAAAAAACCTTTAAAAAAACCAAACAAAGAATGACATTCTGACACATATTACAACACAGATAAATCTTGAAAACGTTATGCTAAGTGAAATAAGCCAGAGACAAAGGGACATGTATTGTATGCTTTCACTTGCCTGAGGTTCCTAGAAGAGGCAAATTCATGGAGATAGAAAGTACAACAGAGGTTACCAGGGGTTGAGGTAGGAGGGATGGGGAGGAATTATTTAATGGGCACAGAATTTCTGTTTGCCATAATTGAAAGCTCTGGAAATGGATAGTGGTGATGGTTGTACATTGTACATGTACTTAATGCCACTGAGTTGTATACTTAAAAAAAAATTGTTAAAAGGTAAATTATGTGTTATGGTATTTTACCACAATAAATTTTTTTTCTAATTTTAGGTATGGCATAGACACCTATAAAAGAAGTAACAATGGGAATAATATGCTAAAAACCTAGAAGGATCCTGTAATCAGGTTGCACGGCAATTGTACTAAAATTTCCCTCTTCTTCAAAGAAACTAAAAACTAGAAATTGCAGATGATGCACTATGGATG